AGGGTCAAATGAACAAGGGCTGTGAGTCTGTGACATGGAAGACAGGAAGTGGCTCCATCCTTTTCCCTTCCCTTGCATCAGGTAATATTAACTATTGTGTTTGAGTCGTCAAAGGATTGTCCCTAAGATCGACCTCAGTTATTAATGATTGAAGCTACCCTTGGTTGTGAAGCTGCTCCACCTGATTTGAAGACAAGATTCGCAAGAACACCTTTTGTTATTTCTCAGAAAGACCACCAGCAGAGCACTGAGACTGAGACTTTTTTAGCCTGCAATTATATACCTTACTCTGTATTCTGTACGGGTAGTAACCACTCTGTATAGTAACTAAGTATCTGGCAGTGAATCTGATTGGATTTCTCACCATGCATACATAGGTAGACTCCACCTGGGCATAATGTTGACAAGCTGATGCGGACGTACGTACTCCGGACACGCACATCCATAGATAGGTACATGTAGATTCTGTGCAGTTCCTCTCTCCTCAGATAAAAGCATTGTCTGCACTTCTGATCAGAGTAATCAGTAGACTATATTCCGTCTAAGCATTTGATGCCATTTGCATAGCATCTGACGTCAGATCTCAGCGGGTGGCTAGACCGCGTATACTCATACGTGTACCAGGCCACGAGCCTTACCACGAACTCATCAACGTCTTCATGTGCGCAAGTGATAGCACTATTAAATAGCTCGGGTCACATGGTTGTGCATCTCACCACACTGCAAAGTTCAGGCAGCCCGACTGTGGCGTCGGTCGAGGGTCATCGATGGTCAGTTGTTGGGTGTATGTACGGAGGGAGTATGCGGCGAAGACTTTGTTTGCTACTATTCTTGATTAATATGTTGTCCCTAGTTTACGGACAACTGCGTTAACAATTCAATGGGACCTGTGCCTGATTTTAGCAGGGGCTGTACTGCAGGAAGAACCAGGACTTGGTATGTGGCAGATTTTGTCTTGGTGATCCTGTCGGTCAAATAATAAGATTCGACCGCAAATCATAAATAGAGGTAATTAGATGACGATTTGATGAATATTCGAGCAAGGGACAAGCCAAGAGAATAAGGAAACAATAATCGCAATGGATGAGACTCAGACAGACTGAGTCAAAGAAGACCTGTCTCATTCAAGATCTGCACAGGAGCAATGCCATTGGTCGATGGGCGGCCACCAGCGCCAAAGATAGCAGCAGCATACGCAACCCTCTACAGCCACGCCGTCCTTTTTTCAACCCATCAAAGTCTTGTCCACAGGGAACGGCTCTTATTTGAAGTTACGTATTCCGCAATGCAGGGCTTAGTCTAGGCTCTCGAGCTTAGGTAGTGTCTCTCCTTCCCGCGCCCTACGGGCTTACTGACTGGTCGAGAAGATGCCAGAAGCGGATCGAGATGCGGTGTCTCCGCTTGGGCTGTGGGTCCTACACATCCTGTTGCCATTAATATTAGTACAATGAGTCTGTGAAAGTCAGCAGGGCTGATGGCGATGGCAACTGGCAGTGGCTGATTGTTTCTATTGTTGTGATCCCTCCTGGCTGGCTTGCCTGGCAGCCTGGTCTCGTATGTCTATTTAAGTGACCCTGCGCACCTGAGGTACCTGAAGTCCTCCGTCTTATCTGAAACTCAAGTTCCCATATACCACGCTCGTTACCCATACACAATCTACCAGCCACAACTTCGATCAAGTACATTCGCTTCGGGTCATCTATCAGCAAATAATACTTCGTACAAGATGCGTTCCTCTATCGTCCTCCTTGCCCTGTCGGCCCTTGCCGCCGCTCAGTCTTCTGGCTCTGTGGTATGTCACTCCTTCTTCCATTTTGACGAACGCTTTAGACCGCATACTGACCTGCCACAGGAAGTTCAGACCACAGGAGTCACTGTCATCGGTCCTGAGGTTAGCGCTACCGGCACTACTACTGCTACCGACACTACCGCTGCTACCACCAGCTCCACCACCTCGCAGCCGGTGATCCCAACTGCTCCCACCGTCATTGGATCCAGCGGCCTCCCCTCTTCCTTCTCCACCGTCCCTTCCAGCAGTGGCGTCAAGAGCTCTACCAAGACCGCCTCGACCGCAACTGCCACCGAGACCACAACCGACTCCACCTCGACCACCAAGTCCAGCGCCTCCTCCACCAAGTCCAGCTCCAGCAGCTCGACCTCCAACGCCGCCATTCCCATGGCCACCGGCTCTCTCGGCCTGTCCGTCGTGGCTGGTGCCGCTCTCGCTGCCTTCCTGTAAACAGATCTCCCACTGGTCCGCTGCTTATGCTGAATACCCCGTCCGTTTTCGAGGAGCCCGATCCTAGTGACCAGTCGTTAAATAGTCAGAGCAATGCATCTTATGAAACGAGGAATGGGCACGTTTTCTCTCTTTACGTGGTTAAATCGCTTGGGATTGTATCTTCATGGATTGCCTTCTTACCGCTTCTTGTCAAAATGCATCAGGCGGCGCACATAAAGCTTCTCTTCTAGTTAGATTAATAATAATGGTTTGATCTTGATTATGCGACTGGATGAACACTCTATTTATGAGACGTGCTTGCCATCGATACCAGAATATACCAGTGAGCAAACGTCAGACCCATAAGACGAGTCGGACTCAAGATACACTACGCACGTACCCCTGGGGTAGAACAGGATATACAATGGCATAGACATAGCTGCCAACATTACGAATCGTATATTCGCAAACTGCCCTGCCATAGTCCAATCTATCGAACAGCCGCTGCCAATAGTACACCCAGCAACATAAGCTAGCCATTTCCCGAGTAATTTAACGGAACTATTAGCACCTTTGTACATCTAGATGATTTGCCTTGCTACTAAATCGGCAGCCTAATGAGCTCATTGAGCAAGTAGTCCAAGTCCTACTACAAGAGTAGGGGGTATTTTAGGGTATACTGAATATGGTGTACGGCGCATTGAGTACTATTCGAATAGACCGAAATCAATTGAATGAGGAAATGAATAAGATGAAGATATGAGGCAGCAGCATATCTCTGTTGTCCTAGACGGTATATCGTCTGGTTTACGGGGACAATATTGCTCTGAGCTGCCAATCTACTGTACCCACGCAGTTGAAGCAAAACTACCACGAACCGCAGGATAGCCTGTCTGCAAGGTAGCTCGACAAATCAGACGCTAACCGATATCGCGTAGAAGATCACTCTATTTCCATGCTAGAAACAGGAAGGGCGCAACTGAAGGCCGAGGAGACAGGGCTGCCGCTTTGAGGAAGATTTTTTGGTGAAAGGGATAATCTCCCTCCTCTCTGCAACTCCACGATGATCAGACCGTCAGCTCCAAGCAGGATGTGCTTCGGCCTCTCAGCCGCATACCGTTGTTAGGCATGCCGGAGAACCTCGTCTCAGACAGGGGCAGTCTGTTCACCAGCAAGTTCTGGTTGACTCTCTGCTACTGCCTAGGTGCACATAGAAGGCTATTAACAGCCTTCCATCCGCAGACAGATGGACGAACTAAACATATAAACCAGGTCCTAGAGTACTACCTGCGAGCATATATCAGCTAGATGTAAGATGATTAGGCAGGCTGGCTGCCTATTACATAGTTTACTTTATCTATAATAATACTACACACAGTGTGCTAGGTATCTCACTGTACTATATACTTATAGGTTTTAAGGCAAACCTGCAGATTAATATATCAACCCTAGGGAATGTAAAAGCACTAGCTGTAGCTGAGAGAGCTGCAGAGATAAATAAGAACTATATAAAGCTGTAGGTCTTGCTCATAAAGTCTAAGGAATAGATAAAGAAGTAATACAATAGGAAGTATATTAAGATATTACTAAATATTAGTAACTACATGATACTAAGAGTAAAGAATATCACTATCCCTAGACTAAACCAGAAGCTGGCGAGCAGAATACTTAGCCTACTTAAAATCACTAGGAAGTAGGGCAAGTAGTTATATAAACTATGCCTACAGTTTTCAGTGATTGGTATATATAGTTATTGCATTAGTTTAATTTCATATCAATAAATAAAGTCAGGTGTTTCCAAGCCTTATCCTCCAACAAAAAAGTTCAGCCCACTAAAATTGGAATGAGGCCATCTTTGTCTGGGATCAGGAGACCCCTTGTCCTTAGGGTCTGCATCCTTTCCTTCCTCTTTTTTGGCGAAAGATTTTTCCAGTTATTGTATAGAGTAACATCTGCTAATGGTGCCTTACCATGATGGCTTACAGAGTACTCTGCACATACTGGTTCTTTGGGAGCAGGATAGTCATCAGGAACAGAGGCCTCTTCTTCCGCAGCAGGATAGTTGTCGGGAACAGGGACTGGCTCTTCAGGAGCAGGGTAATCCTCCAAAGCAGCAACTACAGGATAATCATCAGGAACAAGGACTGGGTCTTCAGGAGCAGAGTAATCCCCTAAAGCAGAAACTGGTATGTCTTAAATCCTGATTTCCTGAGTATTCCTTATTCCATGATGCTCTCCATTCCCATTAATGATATTCTCTAACTGCTGCAAGCGCGCAGTAAGTATGTCAAGCATTATTCTTGTAATAATAGTGCCAAACTGGTCTTTGCCAGTAATACAACTGCTAATTTTATTCACGTTAAATTTTAAACTACCAGTCACTAATAATTGTTGAAGACATCTTTTGATATAACTTGGAAGCCAAATTTCATCATCAGGGAGTTTCGGAAATACTTCTCTCGCAGCTATAATTATGTCTAACATAGCATTAATTCCCTAAAGTATCTAAGATACTTCCTCGCAAGCGCTTTGAGTTCGAGAAGGTTGTATGTTCTGGACGCCTGATAAACTAATATGCTTCTCCTGAATTCTCTTGCTACAGGGGATGGGCCTTGATTAAATGTTAATTTTATCATCTCATAAGTTCCCATGTACAAAAAGTTCACGAAAGTATGACCTGCATCTAGAGTTGCATTTAGTCTAAGTTTAGGTAAGTTTAAAGCCAGCGATGGTCGAGATCGTGTTTGACGCAGCTAGAGAATGTGGATAGGATGAAATATCACAAAGGAGCATCACGAAGCTCGTTCAAATCAAAGAAAGTAAAAACCAAAGACTTCTGCCACTCAACATGATTGCGGTCAAGCCTAAATCCTAAGTCAGAGAGTTTTGATTCGAGAAGACCGGTCCAATCGTAACGGGAATCGTCTGGGGCGTCAAGATTGAATCCTCCACTGCGATACGGCTTAAGAGGAATCCAGAACTTCGGGTAGTACCCAGCTGACTCCCAATCTAAGATAGCCTCGATAGCACCGCCGTCTGAGAGGAGAATGTTGGTTGGACCAAGGTCGACATGATAGAAGTGAAACCTATCTCCTATAGGGGGCGGCGGCAGAGTGGATATTCTCTGGAAATACTTCTCAGCTGCGGTGCGAGAGAATGGCCCCAACGGTCGGGGTTTCCAAGACGGGTGTGACGCTTCTGGATCCACGGTTAAGAAAGGTTCGAGGACTCCGCAGCCTGTTGCAGACTGTAGCTGCTCCGAGGTTGCTTCAGTAAGGTCGCGGCAGTATTGTGCAACAGTGATAGCGACATCAGCTTTTTTCTCTAAAGTTAGAGATGGCCAGGCACTCGCCAGCGTTTGCCCTTGGACCCGTCGCAAAATCAGGAAGGTCCTGCTGAGTTGCTCATCGACCCACGAATAGATTACCTCGGGAATTGGGATATGTGGGAACCGGGACGCAACAAAAGCAAGAGTATTGCTTTCTCTTTCCATCCCATCGGACCATGTCTTGACCTTACAAATCGCATGTGTCCCAATCTCCCAGACGGCGGATGACATGCCAGCCTGGTAAATGAGGCCATCAGCAGCCTTCTCTAGTGAGTTCACATTGGTAGCCTCGACAAGATAGTACTGCCCATCACCCTCTCTCCAGGTAGCAACTGCAGCCTTGGGAATCCCGCTTGTGGCCTTTTTACATAGAAACTTTGAGCCCATCTGATATGTATCCGGGTCCAATTTCGAGACAGATACTTCAATTGGAGGGGAAGGCTTGCTATATTCATCTGTTAGCGCAATGCTTCGCAACTAAATCAGCGTTGTAGTCCTCACCGGAAAATCATCTTATAGTAATCAACTAAAGCGTTGAAATCAAGCTGGCCGAAAGAGAAAGAAGGGCGGATGAAAACTAAATATCCTGAAAAGGCGGTATGCAGCGTACAAGTCGTTTGTTATGTTGACTGGTCACCTGCCATCGCTGTTCTTTGCAACCGTATCCAGGAAGTAGGGACTCTCAGGTGTCTGGCCTGGCTTGGACTGGAAGGGGGCCATCTTATTCCTTATAAAAGTGGTTTACCTCTATGCCCTTAAGGCTTAGTTAGTTATATAGAGGGGGGAACTACTAATGAAGGTGTCATGGGGGCTGACGGCCTAGGGGGTTGGTGGTATATAAGCATGTTCTAGGCTGATGATTCCAAGAGGAATTGTCATTGGAACTTTTTGGCGTTGTGGTAGTAGCTGCCTAGAACACTACTTCTTACAGAAGGTGTAAGAATAAATAAAAATAAGCTTAACCGCCACAGGGGGAGCACCTAGAGTCCTAGACTCTGTATCATAATTAGTCACGAACTACCAGAGCTAAAAGATACAGACTTACCCAGTAAGGAGCCAAAAGCTATAAAGAAAAATAGCTAATAGCTAGGGGCAGGCGCAGGTGCAGAAGCAGATGTAATAGGGGCTGGGGCTGGAGCAACAGGGCGCATAGAGATTAGAGGCTAGGGTGCATCCATGGGGCAGTGGGCTGCTGTTAGTGCAAACCTAAGCCTTAAAGGCCCAGGCCGCGTTGATGACAGCTGGGAGAGATGCAGCCTTAGTGGTGGTAGGAGCACAGTCTACAGTGCGAGAAAGTAAAATAACATGATGAGTAAGGGGCAATGCAGAAGCTGGAAACTGCCAGAGAGCATAATTAGTGAATGCATTAAATAAGAAGCATGAGAAATAACACACCATCTGACATACTTGGTGGAGCCCGCGCAATGGGCGCACTTCCCACCTGCCGGAGAATAGCCCGAGCAGGCAGGAAGCACACCTATTGCGTGGTACACGGGTGCCTGGAGGCACTGGTAGCAGAAGAATGCGGGTGCGAGGGGGCGAGCAGCGGTTTGAGGAGCAGGCGGCACAACAACGGCGAGGGCTCCGCCCCGCTGGCCGTAACTGAACCATCATTAGTCTTGGCCAGGAAGAGCACAGCGAGGGGAGAAGGAGAAGAGAGAAGGGGACTTACCAACTGATGCAAGCTTGTGTTTTGGTTTTGGTTGCTTAGATGCCCCGGACTGTCCTGGAGAGGGAGTTACTGCTGGCGGAGTCCCGGTTGCCGGCTGTGGTGGTGGTGCCGCTGGGGATGGTGTTTTTGCCAGTGGTGACTGAGGCGTTCCTGCTGGCGGAAGTCTTGGCGATGGAGAGAGTCGGGGACTCTCGGGAAGGCTGCTGAGGGGGGATGGTGTTCTTGCTGGTGGCGACCGAGGGGTTCCTGCGGGCGGAACTCTTGGTGATGGAGATTGTCGGGGACTCTCGGGAAGGCTGCTGAGGGACGATAAGTCTGGTGAGATGTCCAACGTTCCGGCCACATTGTTGCCGGGATTTAGAAGACTGTAGGTCCAACTCACCCTGCCATTATTCAGATGGTAAAAGGAAACTGCTGGCGAAGACCGACACGTCCTCGTTGAAATCATGGGATTCTCCATATCGGACCAAAGTGGCAGCTCTTAGCCACAGATGGCGAGAATGTCGGTTGCTTCCTTGCTATTTTGAGCATGGCTAGTTACGCCATGGGCTGAAGGTTTTCAACACAGTATGTTTGAGGATATATCTTGTATGAGAAGGCTGAGCTCTGTTTCGTTCACTGTGCAGGCTCTGAATTGCCTTGACCAATATTGAAAGCAAAAGGTCTGGATTGCCGTAGACATGGCCTTGTTCTGCGTAGTATAGATGGCTGAGAGGGCTGCACCGTTGTATGGATGCGTATAGAGGAGAGAGGTACTCTTCCATTGTCATCTGTGTCAATCATCTAGTAAGAGATGTCGGCGTGACTTCCGGGGGGTGACAGGGTCTCCTTGCTGCCACGTTTCGAACTAGTTGGAGGCATTCTTAAGGTTTGTGAGTATGGTGTACTATCTAAATCTTTAATCACCTGTTTCCAGTTCGTCAGCTCTTCTCTACGGGAACTCGAGCAGGGCCAGTAGCATAACTCACAGATCATTCTGCCAGACCCGTGGATTGAGGATCTCGGCCACCCTGTAATGGCAGTCTAGAAACTCCGGATCTGGCAGGGGGGATTTCCGCCCCTTCACTGCATTGAAACCTGACCTTACGATCATTAGGCCACAAACACTCCTCAAGGAGGGTGGGGAATCTCCTATAAGTCTTCTGGTGTACACATTCTGCTCTTCCTATACAGAAAGACAGATACCGTGGTGAGGGTGAAAAATGGGCTACAGCAGATTATAGTCGAAATTTCCCAGAACAAGCTCATGATGTTGCTGGTATAGCAAATAACCAGTCTGCTGGACTTTTGCGTTAGTACTTAGCAACTTGTTGAAGAGGGGGGAGGTTTCTCTGTGGCATACGTGTTATCACCTGCTATGTTTTTTATACAACTCCTAAGGGACTTAGGATTTTGGGTCTGCTTGCAGAGTTAGCGATTCTGCAAATTCTGATAGGGTTCATTACAGAGACAAGATGGGTGTACTCACAATATAACTATAGAATCCCCACTGATGATTCCAATTAGCCGCGGCTTTGATGTTGGCTGTGAAATCAGAGGATTTAGCTCATCCTATCCTATTCCGGGATGTCCATCGAAGGAAGAGGGCGACAGATTGTGTAAGCTCCGCAAAAGAGCGCGGAGCTCCCTCTTTCTGTGTTGTGAGCTTTTCATGCTCTAGCCAGTTCGATCTCGGCAAAGTAAGCAAGGAGGCATCGAGATTCGTCTTATCAAGACCCTCAGGCACAGGAACTCGATGGGGCTTTTCACTTGGGCTGCGAGGTTGGCATCTGGATTATTAGCGCAGTCTGGCTTGCTTCATGTATATCAACTTACTCCAGGTAAAGTACTTGCTTAACTTATCAATGGAACCATGCTGTCTTTCTCATACGCCAAGCTAGCTCATTCATTAGGAGATGGGTCTTGTGGTAGAATTAGGAGAGGGAGGAAGGGGATGGGGATGGGGGAGATCTACACATAAGAAGAGCAAGTCTTAAGGGTCATCATTCACTGCATACTAGATAGTGAATGTAAATACTTCACTCATCTTATGTTTCAGTCAGTGAATGTTACAAGAACTGAGTGAATATGATTTTATATTCATAGAGTATAGAGAGATCTTCTATTCCCTAGAATCTACTGTTAGGCTGAATGGCGCTATAGGATAGATTCTACTATGTATGACTATCAGAAAGAGTATATATATGACTATTAAGCATCTCTCTCTAAAGCAACTGTGGTTTAAAGGTTACTACACCTGTCACTTAGTTATATAAGTAAATAGGGTTGAATTATTGACTATCCAGTATCCCATGCTATGTTACATTAGACTCTACAGTACTGTTAAGACTATCTTAGGTCATAAGTACTTCTTTTTCTGGGGGATTGCCATAATTACAGCTTCAATTTGATACACTACATTGTATATTAAGCCAATAAATGGGGTGAAACGAGCCAGGAGTCAATGCAGCATTCATCCTAATCAGAAGCATTGCTCAACCCCAGCCCATCTCTCTCGAATTGATTCTCATCAATTTTGGTCAAACATTCCATATTGCTGCCCAGAGAGATGCCGCATGCAAGTAAATCCTACTGACGAGGGACACTATTTCCCTCTGATCTTTGTATCCCTGGTTCCAGTAAATTGTCTACCGCATATCCCCTAATTCGTTTGGACTTCATCCTTTTGCGTACCTGTTACAAGTAACACCAGCAAGGCGTCCCCAAAATTCTTACGCTCAATTTGTCCCTCGTTAGAATGATATAGTGGTTGGGACATGTGCCAAAGATCTAATGGGAAGCTCCAAGTTATTAATTCATATTTGAGATTAGTTACTGTTGCTACTGTTCAGCAATGCCGTACTTCTCTCATTTACTTCAGGGTATTTGGACAGTGCATAAAAATCCAACCAGAACGCGCGCACCGGCATAATTAGGCATATAATTCTGTAGTAATGTCTTGCACTGTTTATACTCTTCCCCCACGCCTATTCCAGCACATGTAAATTCCCACCACACTGGAAAGTATCCGGACGCTTCCCAGTCAGGTATACCAGTGAGGCAACCATCCTCCACCATGATGTTGACGTAGGTAAGATCTCCATGAGTGAATGTATATGGCGCTGCAGGTGGCATGTGGTTCTGTAGTCGCAATCGAGCATCCTCAGGGACACCCTTTAATGTCACCTCCATCTCAGCCCAGAGTTCATCATCGGACGAGAGAGGTCCATGTGGGAGGCCATAGCCGCCGGGGAACAGGAAAGCGGAATAGATTGGCTGACCACCAAGGCTCTGCATTTTAGGAGAGTGAAGCTTGCGGAGCTGCATCAGATAGTCTGCAGTTTGCACTGCGATGCTCTCTCTCTCGGCAGAAGTCATGTTTGCCCAGAGTCTACTCAGAGGTTCACCACGGATGCGCTTCATCAATATGAAATAGTGGCCGTTCACCTCTTCCCAGTCTTCACTTCAATGATCTCAGCGAGAGGTATTGAAGTTTCCTTTTCCAAAAATCGAATATTGGTGGCCTCAACATTCGGGGAGATCCAGATCGTTCTTTCAAAATCAGACGAGAACCCAATGACCAGACACCTCGGTCGCTGGTTCCATAGAAGAGTTTCACGTTGCTTTCGTAACGGCAGCCATCTTGACGCTCAGGAGTCCAGCTACAGGCTGAGCATGGTTTCAGATTAACCATTGGAGAAGAGACAGTACATGACTCTGGATTTGCTGGGATGGCATTGTGCAATAACCAATGCTCTCGTCAGCCCAGAAAACGGAAGTGAGTGAACAACTGTCAGGGTCTCTTGGCCTTGAATTGGCTTCGAACTTCACCAGGTTGGTGGAGGATACACAACTGTTCCCCGCATAGGTACTTACACAGTCACAACCAAAAGCTTCCGTACCCTGTATCCCATCCCTGATTTGACTGGATGTGATTGGAAGTCTGCGGAGCATAAGTACTGAGTTTAGAAAAGTCCATCACTAAGTAGATAAGGGTGTCAGATTATAGATAAATGTTGTTGCCTTGGGGTAGTCCGTACCTGACAGGTCCTTAGCTTGCTAAGCCTCCTTCTCCACTGTCCAGGCACTGGTCGGTTCAAGAACAGTTCATCATTGGAGGCCGGGAGCCCAAAAAACCACCGGACATACTCCGTATATATTCATTCGGTCGTTTGAGAGGTAGATAGTTCGGTACCCTGATGCACAATGTACAAATTGTGGTTTGGAGCTAGCAGGGCTCGCCGACGCGTTAAATGGTGGTGGGAGTTTCTGATGACTGCTTTCCTGATTTCCTCTCTCTCCTCCTCTCAACCAGAGAAGAAAATTGGTAAGTAGCAGTCTCCATCCCATTCTCCATCGCGAGAAGATCTGCTAATCGAGTCAAGATTACAGTGCTGATTACGAATCTCGATCGTCTCTCACCGTAACATCATCATCGACTGGATTTGATCACCCAGACCATGGGCACACGGGCCATGGCTGCTGTAAACGGAAAGGAGTTTGATACTCCTAGTCCTGGCTGGCTGCACCGACAGGCCACGAGCGTATTAGGCACAGTGACCAGACAGGCGTGTAAGCAACCTATCTACACCTTGGTCTTTACCGCTCTACTAGCCACCATGGCCTACACCAGTCTGCTGGAGGAGAATTTACAAAATATCGATCTTACACGGCCGCCGGAGAGTCACTTCAGCCAGCCTGATGTTACAGACTTTCTTCAGGGGAGCCGTAGTCTTCGCCTCGGAGAGGCGACCGCCTGGAGATGGGAGACTGAGGATGAGTCGATGGAAGACCAGGAGGTGAAAGCCTCTCCCTTCTTCAACCCAATGAGCAATCTACTGACTTCATCTTTCTGGCAAGCTAGGTTGCATCGCACTTGGCTTTGATTACGCTCGTGTTTCCCGCCTCCGAAAACAACCCACAAATTCCTTCCATCCAGGAGAGTGTCATTTCTGACTTGACCGCTGCACAATCCGTCTCTCGAGCACCAAGTGTTTTCTCCCCCATCTTGAGCGAGACTTCAATTGCTCTTTCTGTGCCATATAACTACCTGGAAGAGGTCCTGCGCAAAGCCCAAAACTTCCCGAAGTCACAGGGTGAGCATTCGTCCGAAATCTGGGCCATGAAAAGCACTGGTAAAGGCAAGTCTGGCTTGAAGCTCAAGCTCTGGCTGACAGACTCCTTGGCCTCCTTTGTCGATTTGATCAAGGTATGCCTGCTTCATCCGCCTAAATCAACGTACCGTCCGTTCATAGGCAGCTAACGAAGACAGAATGCAGAAATTGTCGATATCATCATCATGTTGTTGGCATACCTGGCGATGCACCTTACTTTCCTGTCACTCTTCATATCGATGCGCCGGCTCGGGTCCCGTTTCTGGCTGGCCTCCTCGGTGCTGCTCTCTGGTTTCTTTGCCCTCTTTTTTGGGCTAATGGTCACTGCTAGCTGTGGTGTGCCAATCTCTATGGTTCTTCTTTCAGAATGCCTTCCATTTCTGGTAGTCACCGTGGGATTCGAGAAACCTATTCGTTTAACAAGGGCCGTACTGCACGCTTCGACCGAATCCCACATTCCTGCGAAGCCGATGACCCGGCGGTCCATACCCGAAGCCATTGAGGTGGCCATCAGGCGCGAGGGATGGCGTATCGTGCGTGACTACACTATTGAAATTGCTATTCTGGGGGCAGGCGCAGCCTCGAAAGTAGGAGGAGCTCTGCCTCAATTCTGCTTTCTGGCTGCATGGATTCTTTTCTTTGACAGCTTGCTGCTGTTTACCTTCTATGTCACTGTGCTATGCATAAAACTGGAAGTCACGCGCATCAGGAAGCAAGTCAAGCCGCATAAAGGTCTGGAAGACGATGGTATGACCATCGGTAATCATGACTTTGACTCCCGTATCTTTGGCTGCAAGGTCAAGGCTGCAAATGTATCTCGGTTTAAGTTTCTCATGGTTGGCGGCTTTGTGCTCTTTAATGTGCTTCAGCTGTCGTCCCTGTCTTATGGCAACGTCAGGGTTTTTGACTGGGTGCCGTACCTCTCAAACCTCTCGAACATTCTGATGCCTACCCCAATCAACCCTTTCCGAGTCGCAGGCAATGGTCTGGATGATATCTATGTGGCTGCCCGTGTGAGCAACATTGAAACGCGTGTTACGGTGTTGTCGCCGATCAAATACGTCCTACAATTATCGGCGCTGCCGCAGGCTGAGCCTTGGGGGGACGATCTTGCTGGCCCGCTCTTCGATACACTACGCGGCCGCACTCTTGGGGGCGTGCTGGCATGTCTAGAAGATTCATTCATGAACAAGTGGGTGGTTGCTGCGCTGTTCCTAAGCCTGGTACTGAACAGTTATTTGATGAAGGCAGCTCGTTGGAATCTACGCGAGCGTGAGGTGATCCCAGGCAGCTCTTCCGCAACCGTGGGCCAGCCAAACGACTCTTCCAAGAAGTCTGAGCTGAGAAAGACTATATCACCGCCTAGCGAGCTGGCTAACCCGCGAACAAGCGAACAACTTGACGCCATGCTACAAGAAGGACGAGCATCGCTATTGGAAGATGAGGAAATAGTCGAGCTATGCCTCCGCGGCAAAATCCCTGGGTATGCCTTGGAGAAGACGATGGAACGCCATCCCAAGGTGAACCGCCTGGAAGCCTTTACCCGAGCAGTCAAGATCCGCCGCGCTGTCGTGTCCCGTACCCCGTCCACCCTTGACGTGGCGAGTGGCCTCGAGAATTCCAAAACTCCCTATGAGAACTATGACTATACCCTAGTCCATGGGGCCTGCTGTGAGAATGTCATTGGATATCTGCCACTGCCGGTAGGTGTGGCTGGGCCTCTGGTAATAGACGGTCAGAGCTATTTCATTCCAATGGCGACTACTGAGGGCGTACTAGTAGCCAGCGCGAGTCGTGGCTGCAAAGCGATTAATGCTGGGGGCGGTGCTGTGACGGTCATCAATGCTGACGGCATGACCCGGGGGCCCTGTCTTGCATTTCCATCCTTATCTCGCGCAGCAGAAGCCAAGCAATGGATTGATTCAGAAGAAGGGAAGCAGATCCTGACCACGGCATTCAACTCTACCAGCCGATTTGCCCGCCTGCAAGGCTTGAAATCAGCGCAGGCGGGCACCTACCTCTATGTCCGATTCAAATCGACGACCGGGGACGCCATGGGTATGAATATGATATCGAAAGGGGTCGAAAAAGCCCTTGAAGTCATGAAGGAGCATGGATTTTCGGATATGGCAACTATTTCAGTGACAGGCAATTACTGCGTCGACAAGAAATCAGCCGCGATCAACTGGACCGATGGACGGGGCAAGTCAGTCGTCGCAGAGGCTTTGATACCAGGGGATGCGGTGCGCTCCGTGCTCAAGATAGACGTGGATACTCTTGTTGAACTCAACACCGCTAAGAACCTGGTCGGCAGCGCCATGGCTGGCTCTATTGGCGGGTTCAATGCCCATGCGTCGAACCTGGTCACGGCAGTGTTCCTAGCCACAGGGCAAGACCCAGCGCAAAACGTCGAAAGCAGCAACTGCATCACCATTATGAAGAAGTATGTGACCTCATTACCACTGCATCCGGGCCTGAACTGATTGATTCACCTCTAGTGTCAACAATAACCTGCACATCTCAGTATCGATGCCATGCATAGAAGTTGGCACAATCGGCGGCGGAACCATCCTCAAAGCGCAAGCCGCGATGCTCGATCTGCTGGGTGTTCGGGGTGCCCATACCACCAACCCTGGAGATAATGCCCGCCAGCTGGCCCGCATTGTTGCAGCCGCCGTGCTGGCAGGCGAATTGAGCACGTGTGCTGCTTTGGCAGCGGGCCATCTAGTCAGTGCCCATATGGCACATAATCGCGGTAAACCGGCGGCGAAGACTGCATAACCGCTATTAACAAGATCTTAGATGTGGCACTATATATTATGTCAAGCGCATCATATTTTTCTGATTCATCATGAGCAGGTGCATACAACCATCGGGTGTGGAAAACAGGGCTTCTGACGGTGTCCGCTCAGCCGTACTCACTCACCTACTTATCACTTTGCTCACCCACACTTACTCTGTGTCTAAGTCACCTATAGAGCAGCAAGTCTTCAAGGGCGCATATAACTTCTGGCCGCGTTGATATTACCGGCTTAAAGTGATTCTATAGCAACTGGACTCTCTGTAGCCATGACTAGTATCTCCATCACCAAGGGAGCTTCTAAAATTGGTGATAGGACATTTTTATTACCTTCAGCAATGCGAAGAGGCTGCTGTTCAGAAAACTGGGCCTTACGCTCGAATTGTACGAGATTGATTGACTCCAATATCCTCTTGCTTATAGACTCTTAAACTATAATTCAACACAGCTGATGGCTAGAAAGTAAGGATCTTCTGTAAGGCAATGGACATAGTTGCCATTCACTTCTAAGCCTTTGAATGTGACATGTATGAGTACTGCGGGTATTTACTTATCTTTTAAAGATTCCTGATTATATCCACTTTCCTCATTCATAGATTTATCGTGGAAAGCTATTATAAATACCCCCAGTTCCCAGACTACCTCTCATCATCCTAACCCTCTCTATCTCTTTTAACAAAGGGAAGCTCCTGTTCAGTATATAAAGTATAATAGCATGGCCATGATTCTTAAGCATTAAGTATATGAGGCTGTAAGTGCTTTATAGTACCTATTTATCACAATTGCTAATGGCATAGCTCCCACCTTACACACCTAGGGGCGGTATAGCGTGTTGTTAATGCTGCTAGGGCAGCCAGAAAATACATTTGGAACGGCCTTTAAACAGGTTGAACTGTGTATAGCTTGCTGAGATCAGCCGGATCCTTAAAATGGCAAGCACTCCCATTGTTTTCGCTGGCGGGGCATTATGGGAAAGATATGCGGTGTCAATTTCAAGAGAAAGGGGGAATGTTAAAGGTCCTGAGGTGGTCAAAATGATCATTTCCTCGATCAGGCGCCTCGAAAGTGGATCAGCCATGGTTGAGACCATAGATTATAGACTCTGATGGTAACTGCATGAGTAGTGCTCATTATGGAACTGGTCTGGGGCCGAAAGCTACAATCCAGGCATATAAGGCCAGCCTCTGCCTCTAAGAGTAAGACAGCTCCTCCAACTCCAAGGCTTACGGTCTTACCCTTGGCAGCCCGAACTCCACTGGCCAAGAAAAGCAGAACGATATCAGTGCCATCGACTGGCTTCTTGGCTCGGGCTACCTTCCGAACATGTTCTACGTTACATACATCAAGATTCAAGAATGCCAATAATCGGAAGAGATTCATGGCTGCAAGTCTGACCAGGCTGTGTTCCTTGGATATTGAGGTAGTTTATACCTCCTCCAGCGTGGCCATTCATCACTGCCTACACCATTAACCTCCCCCTCCCCAAACTCCATGAATTCATTGATTTCTGCTAATAAAGCTCCAGTCATCTGACTCTTACTGGAAGCCTGCTTATTCATCACCCCGAAGATCCTACATTCCTCTTTAATATTTATTGGGAGCCAGTTGACCTGGTGACTTGTCTCTACTCATTCCAGAAAGCATGGTATTATTAAGACTGCTCCCACTCAAACTGCCTCTTGCACTCTGCCTAAAATATGTTGCCACAGACTCTCCAACTCTTTGTGTCAAACAACACAGTCAAAGCTGGTCCGGGGGCGATTTCACAATCTCCACCTATCCTGCAGACGAATCTCCGCTTGGAATGAAGCTGTTCTCTGTGAACGGTGATTTTGGATCTTTGAGTCATAAAAGACACTTCAGTGATGCCTCGGGGCTCTCGCTGTTTACACTACAGTGAAAAAAAGCCGGCGTGACATGGTTTGTCTTCCTTCCCGGAGACGAGCGCGGCTCTCAACCCGTCGCTACAATCGCCACGAAGTGGAGCCCTTTTAAAGACAAATTCGACGTACACTTTAGGAATGCGGCCGCAGATGGAGAGGCAACAGTCCTGGAGGTACGGGGCCAGAGTGTATGGAAAACAAAGACACACGTCTACTACAAAGGTAGCTTGGTGATGATAGCCACGCTAACAGACGTGGTCTCCGTCTATGTGCCCGGCAAGCGTCCTGAATGGACGATAGAGGTTGCAGAAGGAATGGATCTATCACTGGTAAGTGCTTCTTCTGCTCAATGTGAGCAACGGTTGAGCGTTGTCTGACTGCTTATCCAGGCGTCTGTTATTGCAGTCCTCTTAGCTACACTGTTATACTACAGCAGTTTGCCGTCATCTCATTCTGGCTCCAGTCCCAGGGACGATGAAGATTGCATGGGCAGCAGCAAGAATGAATGAACAACTGGGGTCATGATATCTTCAACTGCCAGCAATCAGAGGATGAAAGCTACGTTTTGACAACTTTTTATGATGGCTCCAGAACGCCCTTGCCTTGTATCTGTTGAAATGCAAATGATAACAGAATTATCATAATGATATCGACTGGTATAGACTCGCTCTAGTCTCCCTGGAGTAAAAGAAAATAAACAACCCTAAGATTGTCAATCCTCAAAGAGCGCTTCTACCTCTAAAACAGCGGCGTAACACTTTTAGTATAAGTGCTGCTCTTGCGGGTGAGGATCCGATACTCCGTACGTCCTCATCTCCCCTGGTGATGACAGCTGACGTCTAACCCACACCATATACGGAGTCGAAAAGGGTAATTTTGTGATGTCAATAGGGTCTGCACGACCTAGCCTATCTAAATATCATCAAACATGGCAAATCTAAGGCATTTTCTCGCATAGAATCCGCCATCATGTCATTATCATATTTCGAAATCTCTGGATAGTATCAAAAGATTGGATGATCTGATTCTTGAGTGGTAGATCACTGAAATAATCTAATAGCTTAATTCTACTAACAGGAAGGTAAAAAGAGTGAATGGAAACAGTTCAAACATGCCTATCAGGCAAACAGCGATTTATATACTTGTCAAGTTGTCAGCTGACCTAACAAGCGTCCTAGGCCTTCCATGGGATGAAGGAGGGGGTGATATCAACATCTGTCTACTTGTCCCTCGGATCCAACTGCATTCTGGTCTCCTAACGATCTACCAGCTTGGCGAATGAACCAAACTTCGATTTTGCTTTGATTATCATGACTGTCAATCAGGCTTCCTCACTATCACTGCCATGGATAGCAGTGATTGTTGCACTTCTTCTGCCCGCATCATCTGGCTTGAGTGTTTGCGAGATGTGTAGACCTCGGGAACTGCGCAATGCTCCCGGTATTTTCTGGCTTATCAAGTGTATCAAACAAGGCTAAAATTTGACATGCCAGGGGTGGGAATCGATCTCACCATGGCATATAGGTAAGCATCCATCCTTGCCCATTCGCAGTCATTCAGGTGCTCAAATATTGCCGCGCCAGAACTGCGGCGATTCATTTCAAGAACGGCACCACTCGGGATCTAATCAAGATAGATGGTACGCAGGAGTATCGGTCAGCGATGAGGATGATCGCGGACGATGCGCAAAACGTCCGAAATGGCATGGAGTCGTCAATGTGGGAATTTTCTTGCTGTTGCTGGAGATTTGCTGATGGTAAACGTCTAGGAAGAAAATCCGGCTTCCTCATCATAGGGAGAGGATAGTCAATTGGCGATCACCCTGGGAATGGTACCGCTTCATCTCAGGGAAACTCCACCAGCTGGGAATGGTACCGCTTCATCTCAGGGAAACTCCACCAGCTTATAAACCCACCTGCAGTACCAATCGCGGAGTTACCTGATGACTGGGTCTATGCTATAGCTGCCATGCTGTCCGAGATAAAGTCTGCTGCCCTGGACACCCTGGTCCCTCCATTAAAATATAACTACGTGCGTCTTACATGGCCTGACTTTGAGGCTGATACCGGTCACATCTACAAGGGTCGCTTTGAACTTGCGTGTCGCGTAGCAGGTCTAGAAGGTATCGGCCAGGGCAACATCGCTTCATACTACGCTTTGCAACATGAAGGGACGTATGAATCGGATCAGGCCGCCATGCTTGTAATCAGCTACAACGCCGCCAGTCTCGGGATCACCCTCAACACCCTGGTTGATGGAGATGCAGACTGTCCATGGCCTTTGCGGCTTGTTGAGGATGGTGACCACGCAGCAGAACATGCATTACTCCAAAAAGACCCCGCAAAATACTGGCATGAAGTTCGAGACCTGCTGCGGACAGCGATCGGGAATGAGACTGTCGATTGCCTTCTTCTTCTGGGCTCCCATGCGCGCGATCCTGGCTTGTTCCGGGCTGTCAGGGATGTCTTGGAGGGTCAACCAGGCATCAATCTATCTATACTAGACCGTTATAATCCAGCTATCCCCCATGACAGTCAGGATGAAGACGAGCCGCTGTTCACTGTAGCAAGAGAAGGGAGCATCGTTGCTAGATATGGCATGGAGACTGGTTTCTATGTATGCATTGAGCTGCCTTCTTGTATTGCATCGGACGAGGAACAGGACGGGCATTCTGAGTTGTAAAGCACCGAGATTGGAATCAAGATCACCATGTTGCCAGCAGCAGTCCTGAGTTTCACTGTACGATTTACATTTATAAACGATGGATAGGTAACAGCCGGGTTGAGTGCTTGCTCGAAGGTGACTGGATTCCAGACCTATTTGCTGTATATACGCGGAGGGGAACCCATGTTCTGGATGGCAGCGAAGGCCTTTTGCATGTTGATTCAGAGTAGGAAAACTTGGATATGATGTTGCGCAGGTGAGCAATAAGTATCCCATAATTCTTTTCGGGTCTAAGCTGCCGAATTGATGCAATTCCACTACGTTACTGTAAGCCGAGTTAAGTATGTTCTGAGGCGAAGGGAAAAGTCCTCCGTGCATACAGAGGGTATAAAAGTGGGGACTGAATATTATCTTTACTGTAATATGATTGGTTATGTAATTACCTTGCATTAGCTCCCGCCGCTGGTCCCACTTAAAATATAGAAATAATACCACTAAGCTAAAAAGGTGTCCAGACAATGTACTCGTCAGTCTAGGGCTTCATATGCATAATCATAGTGGTATCTTATTCCAACAAAATGCTCCATGGGACCATGCGTCTGATTGACTTTTAATGAAATCGACGAAATCGGTCAGGTCTAGTAGGATGGATCAAACTCGATATAATCAACGAAAAGAAACGATGGAACCGTAATGTGGCCATTGCATTCAGTCTGTCTCGGTGGTTCGAATCTCGCTAAAGATTCTTGGGAAGCTAAGGTACAACAAGAAGGGCGGGTATCACAGGAGGAATGCGACCCGATTCCTTGTACGAGATCATTTGGCCCGGTACATTGCTTTCTAGGCATGAAACCCCTCTGCACTATAGGAAACCTTGTTTCCTCCAGATTGACTCCGCATAATCCCCTTCCACTGTGTCGGGTTGGGTGGTTGATGCAATAGATGAGGTTTCCCAACTAGGAAGGTAGCGGGTCCGGAACGCTGGTAAATCCGTTACAGTGGGTGAGTCAGCACTACCTGCCTCAGGCACAAACATTTGGTGACCAGTGCCGGGCCCTCGAGACTTCCCTCATGCCCCCATTGGCTTCCCGCAATGATACCGGCCGCCCTTCTTTCTCTTCCGAATATAATGTTTTGTGTTGTTTTGTCTTTTCGGATGTTTTTCGCGTTTTCTTGATCTTCTGGTTCCCGGTCCGAATGCTCCTCTTGTTCGCTGGCGTTCCTCACTGATATATGCTGAGCGATGCCCTTCCCTATTCTATTTCTTGCGAGGTGGCAAGACCTCCAGGATTGCTGAACACACCCCGTTGCCACCCTCTCGGACCAGCAGCCCACGCTTACGGAAGCTTGTTCGAGGCATGATGGCGTCACCACCGATTTTCTCTGGTAAGTCCGGAGAAGATGTGGACCTCTATATCCGTCAGTGTCGATTCCAGTGGCTTGGCATGAATCTTGACCCGAAGGATTTGAACGAGGCTATTGCCACGACCATGTTTGTTGGCCTTAGAGATACTGCCTTGAGGTTCGCACGAGCGTTGCCGAAAGCAGACCGTGAAGATTTGGAGGTGCTTCGGCGACACTGCGGGGGACTATCGGACGGTAGCGAGCTCCCTGACCTTGTCCTTGACCTTGACTCTGTTGACCCTGATTCTGTTGTCCTTGATGAATCTTCTGTTGCTCTTCCACCGACAGGGGTGCGTTCGTGCACACGGGAGCAATGTGACCAGGCAAGCCACACCTGTAGCACAGTCTCTGAGATGCTCCTTGGGACGGTTGCTGAGGCCGATTTGTTGGTTATTGTCGAGGCCCCGAGAGATTGAGTTTGACGATCTGATCCGCCAATTGTTCAAACATTTTTGTTTGGTTGTTCACAGCATCTGCAAAAAGTTCGTCTTTTGATTTTATACCCTCAGTAAAGTCATCCCGCAGTTCAGGGGAGTCATCTTCACAGGCTTTTGCGATCTTGATGGCTTCCTCCAGCTTGATCATTCTACCAATAGCCTTTTGAGTCTGCACGTGCACGCTATCTCCCGTATTAGCTGGGCGAGTCTGTGCGGCCAACACCAGGGGTTTTAGCAGGTCGTGAAGCTGGGCCGCAAACTGTGGCAGTGCCTTCACCACGTTGTTGCATTCTATCCATCGTGATATGGAATGCTCTTGGAACAGTACCCACGCCTTCTGGGCTTCCCTCTGGCCAAGTCGGTGGACCTGACCGACAGCTTGAAACAGGGTGTTCATGTTCAGGGGGGGCTTAAGTAGAACCACTCGGCTGCACTCGCTGTGGAGATTCAGCCCATGCGCACCGCACTGGTAGGAGGTGAGGAGGACCTCACAGTCGGAGATAGGCTTGGTGAACCGCTCGGCGGCCTCACGCCGAGCGTTCTCGCCCATCTGCGCCCGTATTGTCGCATACCTCACCCCCAGGCTGTCGAGGAACATTTCGGTTAACCACAATACCATTGGCCAGTGGACAAAAAGGAGAAACCTCAGGCGCCGTGCCCCTGACTGTGGCTCATGCCACAGTCCCTCGGTCCAGAAGATGCGGAATAGATAACAGAGCTTCACCGTATCTGCCATCAGGTAGCGGGCCTGTGCCAGCCATGTGATTGGCATCATATTGCAGGTCCCCTCAGTCATGCGCCACCAGTAATCTGAGAACCCATGATCGCCTCGCTCTATGCTCTTAGCGATTGCCGCAGCCATCGTGTCAGACTCATCGTCGGCGGCGCGGTAATAATCGTCGAGCGTTACGCTGAAGGACAGGCGACAGAGGAGGCGCATGACGCGCCAGTGCGGTTGATATCAATCGTAATAATAAGTTTAACGGTCGAGGTAGGAGTCTCTAACCAGCCTCGCGCGTCCAGAGCTAGGTTCCGCGTTGACTCTGAAATAGCCAAGTCCCTCATCTGAGTCTCCATCTGACTCATTATCCTCTAGGTCCTTTGGTTCTGCAGCACCCCTAAACGCAAGCACATAATTCAAGACCAATGCATTTTGAGGATCTGGGTATCTAGACGGGGACAATTCTCGGGATCATGGGTTTCAAGCGTGATCGTCTGGCCAAAGAGGAGTGAATGATTGTTGCGGACATCATGCAGACCAACATCATAGTCTGATGGGTGGAGATCTGATGGCAGGCCAGAGCTACCTTTTCAGGCTCATTTAAGCCAGATGCTTTCAGCAAGACGTCGCAGATTAGCCTGAACCAACTCAATGTTGATTTTGCGTGGGATTTTTGCTTTTCGCACGAAGAGGCTTTCAAACTTAATCGAGGGGCTCGTTATCAAACAAGGTATCGTTTATTGGGGGCGCCAGACTATGGCCTTCTGCATCATTGCAGGATGTCCGGCATTGGTCTTCCATCTTTCCAGCACATCGGGGATTCGTCGATTCACTAATATTGTTAGTGAGATCTTCACGTCGCCTTCAGACTTCTCTAGCCAGAAGCGGGCGTCCTGGTCGAGCTTCGATTTCCGTAGGGGAAACAGCGATCTGCCTCGGGGCAGCAGGCGAGTCGTAAACCGGTGATTGGAGCGAGTGTGAAGAAGGCGTGGATGGCGAGCGAGGTCGTTCTCGGTGATCCGAGAAGGAGTTGGGCGGAATGAGGTCTGAAATCAGTAGAGGCTTTTCCGGTTTTTCCGCATCAGTGAGTGAAGGAGGTGTAGTTTCAACTGCTGAGGAAGGTGCACTGTCGCTGAGTGAGGGAGGTGTAGGCTCGGCCGCCGAGGAAGGCGCGGAATCGCTGACAGGGAGAGTCGGAGCAGATGCTGGTTTCGCCGGGCTCCAGTCGATGGCTTTGGAGATGGCTTTTATCTCCCTATTGACCAAGTATCGACCGGTAACCCAATCTAGCGGGCCCCAATATCCACAACTGTTCAGCTCTGAGGCAGGTGGGGTTGGGAAGTCGTATCGACTGAGGATGTCGGAGAGGGTGTTCGTGAACCCCGGCTTCGCCCAGTTTCGGAAAACTGGAAGCAGAAGAAAACTGTTCAGTCGCTGGATTCGATCGAGTAATTCTGTTGATAGAGAATCGCCTCGAGAATCCATGCGTAGATTGTCGTAATTCTGATGGATGCCGGAGAATCTTCTCCAAGTCGGTGGCAGCAAAACTTTTCTTTGGCGATGTTCGATCACATAAGTCTCGGCGGATAATGAAGATATGCAACGAACCGAGCCGGAGTTGCTCTGACCCAGTAATGATAATGCTCCACCATTGTTCCCCAGCCGACACATACATTATCCTGCAACAGCTGGCCACAGAGCAGTGTTCAGAATTCTGGTTATGTCGGTAGAACCATCAGGATGAAGACAGCCATCAGTGCCACCATACTGTTTCAGGTCCTTCCAGTCTTGGATTTTGTCCGCGATGTACCCTGCCAGGGTCATTCTCTGGTGAATTTATCCGCTACAGACATGATCGAATCAAATTGTCCTTTGTCTGGTAATGCGACAATCTCCGCGGCATTAAGAATCTCGGCCAACCGATAATGGCAGTCTAGAAACGCTGGATCTGGCAGGGGGAGATTTTCCGCGCCTTCACTGCATTGAACCCTGACCTTACGATCATTAGGCCGCAAGCACTCCTCAAGGAGGGAGGGGAATCTCCTATAAGTCTTCATGGTGTAGACATTCTGCTCTTCCTTTCAAAAGACAGCAATGTGTAAGTAGAATGATTAGAATGAAGGAGTAAATAAGTTGGACTTACTGTCCTGACAAAGGCCAGATCAAACATTTTGAATGATTTGTGCAGGAAATTGAGCAACATCATCCCATTTGATGAGGTCCTCAATCTACTACAAGACACCATGGGGAAGCATTTCTACAACACTTCCCACCGCTTCGAGGATTCATACGAGTCAGTTTATGAGACAACACCATTAGATGTCTAGGAAAAATACCTCGCTTGCCGCCCAGGATGTGTAACTGCAGGGTATGATGCAGGCACACTCCACGTAGCCATGGAGCTCATTAGCTGGCTGCCATCCATTCTGCTTCCATTTCTTGGTATCTAGATGGCCAGTGATACAACAGCGATAATCATCTCGGCGCGAACACTCGTCATGGAAATGTGGATCTTGGACCTCTTTGGGCTTCCTTTTCTTAAAGGGCAATTCAGGTTCCAAGGGTGTATGAGTACAACTCTCTGCCATCACTAAGATTAGATCAGCATGTATACTCTGCAATTTTTTTCTCTCAAATCACATATTGTCCATACTTGGGTAAAGGACACCGGTGAGAATGTTATGGAACATTTCCCATAACTTGTTGTCATCATCGCCAGCCTTGACGATGTCTCTGGCCGTAGAAGTTTGACCGTCTGGTGGAAACCAGTCTAGAAAGGCATTCAGGGAGGGACGGAGATACTCCTCTTGCGGTCTGTTTCCATTCTTATAACTCTCCACCCTCGCCCTGGCGGCGTCTATCAAATCCGGGAATGTCTCGGGCGGCTCCGCCTCGGTACCGATCACAGAAATGCTATGCACTGACTTGGGGGTCCGGGGGCTGCCCAGCCAGTCGGCGCGACTTCCGGGGGGAAACAGGGCCGCCTTGCTGGGTACGTTTCGAGCTACTTCGAGGCATTATTCCTAATGCTTGTGCGCTGTGGAGTACTTACCGAAGACTCGGGGTCCTCGGTGAAGAGTGAGTGGGGAGTGGTTGGGTAATTTGGTTGACAACGACGACCACGAGGTTCCGCAAGGGAGTTTGATCGGGTTGAAAGGAAGAACGGATCGGACGAGGCAGAAGGTGAAGAGCTGGAAGATGCGAAATAGGACAGCAGTAGTAAATAGTAAAGGGTAGACGACTATCCTTGAATGAATAAACAACCGAGTTGAAGATCAGGTACGGAGTACCTATGATGTGGTGGTAATCATAATACTAAGGTAATACCATAGTTAACATTAGCACAAGTATTAACGTGGGCACTAAGCTGTATTTGGAGACTTAGGGCTACATTCTAGGGCTTTGACGTCACACAGGCTACACAGCATGATATGACAGACACATCACAAACCACGAGATACCATTCAGGAACGTCTCAACCATCCCCCTGAGCCGCTCCTGACAACATCCTACGGCCACTGCGGCCAGACTCATTGCGCCGGTATGCAGGACATGTGGGGTCAGAAGAGGAAGGGCTCTGGCTGCGCACATGTTATGATCCGGAGAAAGAGGGCTCGCACGAGAGCCTATGGAATGAGTTTGTGGTTGATGCTGGTGCCATCGGGTAGCACTCTCTAGTCCTCGACGACAAAGAAGTATTTGTTGATTTGGCAGGGTTTCTCGAGATCTTCCCAGAACGCGTAACAAATGAGAGGGATTATACGGTTGTTGAGAAGCGGGAAAGTCTCCCTGGACGCATCCGAGGTCCACCATACGAAAGGCCAGGGAGGAATAGAGAGTAGCGGACTGGGTTACGGATTTTCCAGTATGTCTAGAACAAGTGGATTTACACCCTCCGGTTTCCTCCTGGAACAGACAAATGAAGAATATAATCTAGTCAGAACACTAACTGGTCTTTTTTCCTCCGTGAAATGAGCGGGTATCATGTCTCAACAAGCTAAAAGGCAACAGTGGTACCAGGGCAAAGTCCATCTCATGGAATTACTCGCATCTGGCAATGCCTAAGGCCAGAGGCATCGTCTTGCCCGGTGGGAATCACACCAACCACCCAAACAGTAGTGTGTTGGCGTCCATTGCTCATCAGGGTCTTTTATAGACCGCCGCTTCCAACTCACACTGATCGTGTCGCCATCGGCCCGTTCAAAATAAACGTCGTTGGTGTAGAGGGTACTCAACATGCCTACAGGAGTCCAATCTAGCCCAAAGCTGGGTCCCTCGGCCTCCTAGTGTCAAGAGTGAGAGACTCCTCGCTCCCCCCACTCAACGAATCCTGCGCCTTTATGCCGACACCAGCATAGTTCTTCTGCCTCACCGGCTGCAGGCACAGCTGGCTCGAGTCGTCCTCCAGCCGCTGGAATCCGTCACCGGCAGCGGAGGGGTCTGGTTTGGGCCCCGCAGACGGGGACGAGGACTTGGGGCCTGTTCCGTTAGGAGTGTAGACCGACCGCCCCAGGAGCGGTCGCATCATAGGGACCGAAGCGAGGATGACGGCGAGGCAGGGCTCGAGGCCGCTGAAGATGTTGGCGCGGGGTATCGTGTAGGTGATGTCGGTGAAGTCCATTGAGGACAGCACGGAGATGCGGAGGGCGCTGATGACGCAGGTGCTGGTTTGGATTAGCATCACGAAGATACAAGAGTACGGTGAAACGGCCCCTTACACTACTCCCAACCCAAAGACGGTGATCAGGGTCGCCTTCTTATACGTTGCCATCTGCAGCCGATACAGCGACGGCATCGGCGTCACGAGCACGGCCACGTCGGTGACGAGATTGATCACCCCCGTCACCGTGAAGGAGGTGACCTGGTCTCCGCACGATCCGCCGGGGATGCTCTGGTCCCAGTTGAAGGCGAAGGGCCGGCAGATGAGACACCCGGCCAGGATCGTCGCGATGGTCCACGCGACGATGACGCCGATGGTGGCCCAGGCGATCCGCACGACCCGCACGACGGGGAAGATCCGGAGATACAGCAGCAGGATGGAGATTTTCGTGCAGCTGAGGCTCAGCACCCAGAGGAACTGCAGCGGGATGATCAGCTGGAGCAGTTTGGTGATGGGCTCCATCCCGTAGACGGCCACAATCGATGGGACATGGTCGAAGCCGATGCCGGCTTGGAATACGCCGGTGATACTGATCGACTGGAGACCGACGGCGAATATCTGCAGGGCCAGATGGTATAAGTGATATGTAGATAATTAAGAGGGGGCTTCTGGCTTACGCAGGCGGCAATGAGGAAGTAATCACTTAACGTCCACTTTTTATGCGCGATATGATGGGCGAACAAGCGCAAGGACACTGCGACGACGGCCAGGATAGAGAAAGTGAGGGCCACACCAAGCACAGACCTTTGGGCCTGGGTCTGGATAGGGAAGATGACCGTCATCTCCTAAGAGACAAGCTGGTGAGAGACTGGCAGACAGAGAGAGGGTGGACTTCTTCAATTGTCCTCCATCAGGGCATGTTCGGGGTTAAAAGCCATGGGATTGGGGCCAGAAACATTGCAGGGATCAGAAATTAGGATCTCATCTGACAGGGGGAACAGGCCCGCTTTTCGTGCTTTTGACACTGCTTCCTGTAGCATTGATCGTTGATATCGAGTGCATAATAAGTACATATTGCTACTGTCTGCTGTCTACACCACGAATAATAGAAGCTTGGTATGTCAATTCATGGCTCGAGCAATCCGAAGAGTACCATATCACATTTGCCAATTTCAATTTTATGAGACGTGTCCTACAAAATAACAGAATCTGTAACTTCATGCTACCAGTTCCCCCATTCTGCTCGGTGTTGATCCGTCATGCCCTAGTCAGTCACTTATGGCTTGGCCTGCTTCACGTCGTGGAAATAACCGCTTCATTGGCGGGTCATTTCTCGCTTTCTCTTTAGCGCCTTATGGTTGACTGGGATCGGCAAACTGAGTCAAGAGCATTAATAATATCAATATCGCCTCAACAATCATCAATGCCGGCCAAATGCCGTTGCAGGCTAACTAAGTACTACTACTAGAACAAGTACTAGTCTCAGGCCTGAGCACCACTCCTCCCCGGCCAGCTGCAATCGACAGCTCAAGCCTCACTCTTAACACATCTCAAACGTCTATCTCTTGACGTCAGTATGGCTGCCGCTCCTGTCGTGATTGTCCTCGCCATAGGCCTGTTGACACTGTTGTACATCGGTAGAAAGAATGGCAGCAAGAAGGACAAACTCCTGAAACTCCCTCTCATCGGCGACCTCCATAGCTCCCCCATCGACAAGCCTCTGGCAAACTGGGACTCCTGGGCCCGACAGAATGGCCCGATAGCAGTGCCCCGACTGTTTGGGATCATCCCAATCGTCGTGCTCAACTCGTACGAGGCCGCGACGGAGTTGTTCAGCCGCCGCAGCCAGTGGTACAGCAACCGTCCGGCCTCGGTAAGCATGGAGATGATCACAGGTGCTCAGCCAGGACAGTCTCGCTTCACGCTGATGCACGACTACGACGAACACCTCAAGCTGCACCATCGCATCCTATCTCCCAGTCTCGGTGCGCTCGCCGCCCCCAAGTACCAGCCCTTGATGGAACTCGAGTCCAAACAGCTGCTGGTCGACCTAGTCAACGCGTTGCGGCACAGTCCGGACAGCACCACGATCAGCACCGACGCTATCTACCCGCTACTGGAGCGCACCCAGTCCAGCGTCATCCTGGCGCTGCATTACGGACTGCGCATCCCGCACGCCGACGAGCGCATCCTGCACGAGATCATCGACATCCAGGCCCAAGTCACCCACCTCGCCGCCAACCCCGGCCTACCCGATCTGGTCCCGCCCCTTCGCCACCTGCCCGCCGTCCTATCCCCCTGGAAGCGCGCAGCGGACCGCCTCTACGCCACCCAGGTCGACCTCTACATGCGCCTGTTCCACCACGGAAGGGACACCGCTGGCTGGAACGCCACGAAGCAGGCCATCTCCACCGCGGGGAAGTACGCCCCCGCATCAC